TACAGTGAACCCTCGCTACTTCGCGGTTCGACCATCGCGGATTCACGTATATACATAATGTAATGAAAAAAGTCCGCAAAGTCGTGAATCCGCGATGGTCGAACCGCGAAGTAGCGAGGGTTCACTGTAAATTATTTAATTAGGGATGCCTTCATGGCATAATAAGTTCTAGAGCACAGTACAGCACCCTGTGTTGGCTTCTACACTGCAATTCTTTGTTCTTCAAAATAGTCCATTAACAGTGCATTGAGGCACAGTTAGTGCTCAGATCTGAAATGCTAATGTTAAGATTGTGGGAGTAAATTGAATCATACGCCTTGTGTATTTGCCTTACAGTCCTGTCTCACTCTGTGACGACATATTTCTCAAATTATAATGTATACTCTTCATCGTTGTACACATAAGTAGCATCTTAGATTTATTAATTTCACTTATTCTGTTTCCATAGTCCAGAAACTTTTCTGACTGAGCACTTGTGAGCCTGTTAATGCTCCTGAATTGCCAATAAAGATTCCCTAGTTGTGGTCACGTGCACAATACTGCAAGGCACTGGCTAGATTTCCCTTTGTATAGTTGAATGCCCCCATCCCAATTTTGCAGCCTGCTGGCAGTTGAATTGTTAACAAATTGCATGCCTAAAATTGGATGTCTTTGTCCCTAGTGCCACCTCACTACTTCCAGCATTTGGATCATACTGGCAGGAGAGTGGATTTCTATGACCGACCTGAATTATCGTTGGGCTCCTACGAGTTTTTGGCCACAGCCAGCTACTGTAAGGTACAATAGTGTACATTTAATGCAGTGCTGTGATGTTAAATAAATCCTAGCTCCTCTGAGAAAGCAAGTGGAGGCTGAATCAGATGGATTGGCTTTCCAGTTGATGTCATCACTAGCATCTCTTTGTACATCTGAAGAGGTTAGATTTTACATCCCTGTTAAGTGGGACTGCACGTCCCATCGTATCTGTAATTGTTACCAGTAGTTAAAACCTTATCTAGGAAAGTACATGCCATTTCTCTACAGTGGCAGCTGCAATGTTGCCTGCCACCTTCTAGAGAAGGAAGGTTGTGACCTACTAGTCGGTCGGAATTGCCCCAGTAGAGATGAGAAGCAATGGGATAGAGCAAGCCCCAATGCATTTACTGGCAGTAGTCACACATTGTAATGAGGGTTTCAAAGATGCAAAGGCGGTAAATCTGATCCCATATTTCAAACACTAGAATAGTCTGGGAAACTCACCTGCTTCAGATTCTACACATTTGTCAGTGTAAACAGTTCCCTAACTTTTCAGACACTTTTGGGGGGAAAGACACGTGCATTACTGTTTTGTATTAGAAGGACCCCTCTTTTTGCTGAAAAAGATAGGAAAAGAGTTTTCTAAAGGTTGCAGCTTTTGACTGGCCTGGCCAGGGCCATATTTTAGATTTTACTGAGAACTGGCAATACAGCCAAACACATCCCCAAATTTCATGCAAAATGGCCGACTGGGATTGGAGAGTATAAAGCCTTCTCTTGACTCTTTTCCAGCTTACTTCTTCCGTTATCCCTGCGTCTCTGCTCGCTGTATTCCCCTCTGATAGCTCACATCTTTCCACCAGTTCTGCCACCTCCTCAAGTCCTTTCTCTCCCCCTTCCCATCCTCCCTGGAAGGAATTTCTCTCTTCCTTCTCTTTTCTGTGTGTTTGTTTCCATGTATGCCAGTATTGAGGCACTGACTACTCTGTTGCTCCAGTGGTCAGTCAGCCTTGTTGCTCCACTTCCCATTCTGATGTAGACTGCAAAGAAAGGAAGTGCTGATTGGAGCCAGGCTCTTCCCAGCAGAATCCGTGCTCTGTGAAATAAGGGCACCCAGTTCTGGAGGAGGAAAGTCTTCCTTTGTAGTGCAAGGACACCCCTGCTTAGTCTCTAACTTTCAAAGTCTTCTAGAGCATGAGAGTTCTGGGGAATCCTGCCGGCCTGCTTCCCACTCCGTCAGGGCTGTTCCATGTAAACAGGAACTTCCTTTACACCAATCCTGTTCTGCCTGCTCAGTCGAGGGATGCCACATTCCATGCATGATTGTGATGTCGGACATTAGGATTCAGATGTACTTGAATTGGGTGGGAGCAGAGAAGCAATGAATTACCAGGATCTTAGTTTTTACTCTTGACTAATTACTAAATAGAGGTTACTGGGGTTTTGATGGCATGAATTTGTCTGGGTAGCCTAGCCTTGGTATGATCTCTTCTTAAGCATGGGGCGATGGTTTTCTTTCTGTATTCCACAGAATAACAAGTTTCCCAACCCACCTGCTTTCATTTTCATGATTGATGTGTCTTACAATGCTGTGAAGAGTGGCTTGGTGAGGCTGATCTGTGAAGAGTTGAAGTCTCTCCTGGATTACCTGCCCAGGTAACTTAACTCCTTTGTTCTGTACGGTCACAGCCGGTGACCACAGAAAAGCTGCCACCACTCCATGCCTTGCAGAGGGGACATGCCCTTTTGAAAAACCATGAGGAGTCCTGTGGCACCTTAAAGATTAGCAGATTTATTTGGGTATAAACTGAGGGTAAAAACCACGTTGTCAGATGCATTGCATCTGTATGGATGCATTTGACAAAGTGGGTTTTACCCACGAAAGCTTGTGCCCAAATGAATGTGAGTCTAAGGTGCCACAGGACTCCTTGCTGTTTTGCAGATACAGACTAATATGGCTGTCTCTCTGAGACTCTCTCTTTAGAAGGCTTTTACTGCTAGTGACAGCTTGCAGGAGCCTGGCTAGCACTGCCAGCCTCCACACTGGCCCAGTGACATGAGTCAGCCTGTCCTGAAGGGATGGCTTGGAGGGTGGCTGCCTTCATGGTCCGTTCAGTTCGTATCCAACAAAGGAACCACTGAGATACCTGTCCACTAGGAATGATGGTACAGCAGCCCGTTCTCTTCCCTTCCTTTTCCTGCTCCCGGGTCATTTTATTGACCTCTGCATGTTGTAGCTCTTGTGCTTTCATGGCCCTTGTGATGCACTAAGTGTCTTTATTTTACAGGGAAGGCAGCATTGAAGAGTCAGCCATTCGGGTGGGCTTTGTCACTTACAACAAAGTGTTGCACTTCTATAACGTGAAGAGCTCGCTGGCCCAGCCGCAAATGATGGTTGTCTCAGATGTAGCTGACATGTTTGTGCCGCTGCTTGATGGCTTCCTGGTGAATGTGAACGAGTCAAGGACAGTGATTGTCAGGTAACGGGGACCCATACTGTGTTGAAATAGGCTCCAGCTCTGAGAGTGCCCACTTGTACAGGGCTTGGCGCTATCAGTGTTTCTGGAGTCTTTAGGTGTAACTAATGGAGCTGGCAAAAATCAGGTGCACTGTGTCTTGGGTGTCCTTTCTTTGCCAGGATACCGCCTTTCTGATGGCCTCTGGGAAGCTTTATGTGCCAGTTAGTTAAAACTGAAAGCTAATAACCGGCACATAACATGTACAAGCAACTGATGCACACCTTGGAATACAGCTGTATTTGTCTTCATTGTCATGGTTGCCTGAGCCTGCTCCACTAGAACTGGGACTGAACTGACAGGAGGCTGCAAAGTGGGACTTATAGGGAGAGGCTTCTTTAGAGAAGACTGTCAGAATGTCCTAGAGAGCAGGAGATCATAATGGAGTTCTCAAAGTCAGTTTGAGGTTTCTGTGAGTTGATATGTAGCAGGGTTGACTCTCTGCCACAGTGCTGCCTCCTGGTCACACCAAAAATTAGCTCTGTTCCTCACCAGGGTGCCCTCTTCTGGCCAGGGACTCACCCATCATCACTATCCGCTTTCATATCTCCTTCATCGAGATCTGCATCACTCCCTGGACCGTGGCGTCCTCTTAGGGACCCATTCCGTTCTCCCCACTTCTGGGGATGTATCAATAGTCCTCAGTTCTGGCACCTGCCTAAGAGGCCAACTGCAGCCCCAAAGATCAGCCTTTTGCCTCAAGGGCAACCGACAGTCAGTATAGAGGCTAGGTGTGGTGTAGGGGATGGAGGGATGACCCAGGCCCAACCTGGGGATCTTCTGGTGGCAGGCATCTTTTGCCCTCCTCTCCCCTTCCCTGCGTTGCTTTCCTGTGACCCTTGTATCAAGGCCACAGCCTGGGCAGTAACAGGCTGGAGCCTCTCTTCAGCTCCCCTGAGCCTGCCCTGCACCGCTTTATCCAGCTGCTTCTACTCCCTTCCTGGCCAGAGCAAGAGTGAGCTCCTCTTAGCCCTGCAGCCTTTTATAGGACCCAGCCTGGCCCTGATTGGTTGACTGCTCCCTGCCCTGATAGGCCAGGATTGTGCAGTTCTTCTCTGGCTTGTCTGTGACCCTCTCCCTGCTGGAGTGGGCTATAGCACCACTACACTTGGACTGTGCTGACCAAATAGATTCTGTGAGGAGAGCTGAGTGAATGGCTTACATAAAACTAATAAGTGTATTAAGCTTGGAGTGCTGAAAGGGGGATGTTTGGCTGAACTGAGTGAGACTGGGACTTACTAACCAGAAATTGAGCAGAGAAGCAACTGAAGGGGAATGAACAGAAAGCCATAGAAGCTTTAATCTAGAAACTAGAGTTTGCTTTCTCTTTTCCTGTGATGTTCCAGAGGGACAAAGACTAGGAAGCCCAAGTCATAACTTCTAAGGAGAAGAGGAAATTATTAGAAGAAGCACCTATTGGGGCCCTAGAGTATGCACTGCGGAGACATGCAGGCAGAGGAAGTGGATGGAGAGTTGACAGGATCAGTTTTTAAGAAATGCAATAGCATGCAGGTTAGAGAAGGGTTAATCATATAATAATCACTATCTTCAGGGCATCTCAGTCCCAAAGGTCACCAGCTGTGAATTTAGCAGGTGAGCTTTGAATCCCTTTGAGCATTCTCCTTTTCCTTCTTCCCTGGCAGTTTGCTGGACCAGATCCCAGAAATGTTTGCGGACACAAGAGAAACAGAAACTGTCTTTGCCCCAGTAATTCAGGCAGGAATGGAGGCTTTGAAGGTTTGTTGACCTGCTGTTGTGGGGAATGGAAGATTGTTTTTATAGTGGAAGCACCTCTGTGCAGTGATTCTCAGAGCTGTTCATAAAAAGGGTTGTTGCTCTCCTCAGAAGTGTATGCAAAGGGTAGAAAATGCTTACCCTACCACTGAAATGCAGCCACCTCTGTAGTTCATGTTAGCAGCTGTTAAACCTCAATTCATTGTTTACCATAAAAAGCAAAGAATACCCTATGCAAGTGAAACTGCACAAGTTTTTACCTGTGATCTAGAATTCTTGCCTGCGATGAAATTTCGTCAGGTCCCTGGGCTTGATAAGTACTTGGTACTTTTTTAACAAAGGGATCTTCTGAGTGGTTTAGGACCCAGAAGATTTCCAAAGATTTCCCATCCCAATAGCTGACTCATCTGAAACTCGTATGTGTGGATCCATTGGCTAACCATGTGAGAATTCCCTAGAAAACACGGCTGATCGTGAGAATTTCTATCCGTGTTCGCTTACACTGAAAGGAAAAGCAAAGATGAGCCATTCAGTATCCCATTCACAGGCTGTTTAAGGACTGGGGATTTACCTGCTAGCAGTTTAACCATTAAAGAGATCTCAGGCATGGAATAGAGATTTAAAAATAATAAGCTGAGGAAGCTGTTTCCAAAATCCATTACGTTCCCTATGACAGTACTTGTTTCACCTACCAAACATGGTTGCTATTAATCTCGGACAGATAGACCCATTGGCTGCTTGGTCCCATCAAGGGTTAAATATCTAACTAGTAGAGAGGAATCAGACAGCGATGATACTGTCCCAAAAGTATTCGTCTTGAGAAATCCATGGTCCCTCACCACTGTTTCTCACCAAAGCAATTCCATCCCCTCCTCTGTAGGCAGCAGAGTGTGCTGGCAAGCTCTTCATCTTTCACACCTCGCTGCCCATTGCAGAGGCCCCAGGGAAGCTGAAGAACAGAGATGACAGGAAGCTAATCAACACAGACAAGGAAAAGGTAACAAGTGATGTGCTGCTCAGAAGAAAAGTGCATGTTGCTCTGGCATAACCTAGAAGGAACCAAGGAGCTGTAGAGGCTCCATAGCTGCTAACTGAAAACCTTCTATCTAATGGCTGCCCTATTCCCCATGGCTTCCCATATGGAACTGAGTGTGTTCACTACCAGGACAGAAAATGATTCTACATTGGGGACAAGAGTGGGTGGTACTAGAACCCAGACCCCAAGGGAGAGAATAATTGTATAACTAAAAAGCTCTGTGCTTTCGCTGTAGAAAGGTTACAGCTAGTACCTAGTTAATCCTACATAGGAAAGAGGAATCTCCATCCTTAGAGGGTTTTTAAGGCCTAGCTTGTCAAAGCCCTAGCTGGGAAGATTTAATTGGGGTTGGCCCTGTTTTGAGCAGGGAGTTGAACGAGGTGATCTACTAAGATCTTTTCCAGTCCTAATCTTCATTGATTCTAGGTGCCTCACATACCTTAATGCCCTGAATAAATACCTATGTTGTTTGTAGCTGTTACATTGGTCTCTCATTCCTTTTTTCCCCACTCCCTTTCAATCTCTGTCTTCCCTAGACCTTGTTTCAGCCACAGACAAGCTTCTACAGCAACTTAGCCAAGGACTGTGTGGCCCAGGGCTGCTGTGTAGATCTGTTCCTTTTTCCAAACCAGTATTTGGATGTGGCAACGTTGGGGGTAGTCCCTTATCAGACAGGTGGCTCCATTTATAAGTACGCCTATTTCCAGGTAAGTGCTTTCTTGGGTCAGGCTAGCACCTGCGCTGTATAAGTGAACAAAACCCATCACTTAGTTCCCTGTTGGGGTTTTTTCCCCCCTCATGGGGCGGGGCATAGGCCATAAGTGAAGATCTTGTCTTACCCTTGAATCTTAATATTGTTTTGTTTGCACTATATTTCAGACTTACTTTGTACCAGCATGAACCTGTGCTACATAGGGGTATAAAAATGTGGTTACAAAATGTAACCATTAAAAATCCTAGTGGTTACACATGCTGTGGGCTCTGCAGTATAAAGCTTGTGCTGCAGAGCCCGCAGCGCAGCTGGCTCCCGGGGGGTGAGGCTGGCAGCTGGAAACAGGTACGCACCGGGAGTTGGCTTTTGGTGCACACTGGCTGCTGGCCCCACTTCCAGGGAGTCTGCTTCAATGTGGGCTCTGCAGTATAATTTTATACTGCAGAGCCCATAGTGTGGAGTGACAGCCAGCTCACTGGGAATGGGAGCCAGCATGTAACGGTCATGGAAACAGATAAGCTGATTTGTTAACTATTAATAGTTACACTTGTGCGTTCCTAGTGCTATATAGTTTCTTAATAAGAAAAATCTAATAAAAGGTGAAAACATTATCAGCCCTGCAACAGTCATCACAGTGTATTGTCCACAAGGCAGAACCTCCCCACAGTGCTGGCTCCACAGCCTCACTTAGCATTCGAACTTGTGATAGTTAGAGGTATCTTTCTTAAATTACCATGTGGGGAAAGCTTTGCTTTTCCGTTAAAATATCAGAATGTTCTGCAGTGAAGATGAGCAGTGATGTTTCTGCATCATGAAAATGTAAGTTCAAGGCTTGCTTACTAGGCTAAACTAGACTTCATTCATAATAAACGTTCATTACAAATGGATACAGTGTTAGTGGGAGAATCTGGAAGGCAAATTGCACAGTCTGGGGAACAAGTTCAGATACGTCAGGCAGCTCTCAAGAGAAACTACAAAGGGCTTTGGCAAGTCTCCAAATAGACCCTTCATGGCTTCTTTTGTCAATATGAGCTGGATCAAATGTGCTCTGAAATTAGGATGGTATACAATGTTTCAGGCTTCATGTCATGAAATTTGTCTGTAGTTGGGCCTAAATCCTACAGGAATCTACCATGTCCTGAGAATCTTCTATGACCTAGCAGGGATTCAAGCACTTCAGACACTGACTGTAAGCCTGTACTCTGTATGTGGTGAACAGTGGCCAGAGATTTCTGTTTACATTACAGTGGATTGCAGGAGCACTTAGCCATAGTTCTGCTTCTCGCACCTGGTGTAGATCTCCCCCATGGCATTCTGCAGTAAAGGCTCTGAGTCCCTCTCTCAGCAGTCACAGTTGTGGTGGTCACAGCAGCTTGCATGAAGCAGGGGTCCCTACACATACTTGGGAATAATACATATG